ATATATATAAGTGTGTGTGTGTGTGTATTTGTATACATATGCAAATGTTAAAAAGTAATCAGAAGTGATCGTCCTGATCGAAATATAAACCTGTTGCAGATGCTGGATTCTCAGGGGCCACTTATATACCTATATATGTATGTATTTTGCTTATCATATCCCAGGTATACAGTTTAAAAGGCAGTTCAAAAAGGGAGATAAGCTATGAGGATGATGGGGAGAAGTTAATATAGACAGCAAAATGTCTGAATATATAGATTAAACGGTAAATGAGAAGCCTTCATAGCTCATTCCTATAGTACATATTTTCTTTAAGAAGTCTTGCAGACTCCTTTTTTAAAAAATCTCATAGTTACATTCCAGAGTGATAGCATTTTAGCACAACATATCTTTTAAGGGCCCTATTCATAGATTTGTGAATTAATTTAAAACAGGTTAATATGTAAAATGCAGTAGGTTGTGAAGACCTGCATTTAAAGGTGTTTGCACAGATATATTTAAAGTAATGAATTAGGTGTTTTTTTCCTAACTTCAGGAAGAAAAGAAGATTCTCTTCTATTACCCAAACGATGTAGAAAAGAATGAAAAAATCAGAAATGTTGGATTATGCGAGGCCATTGTTCAGTTCACAAGGTACAACGCTTCGTATGTCTGCATGTCTCGTATCTTATTTATTTGTAAGAAGAATCAAAACTCACTTGGCTCTTTCCAGATCAAAAAAACACTTTGCCCAGGTGATGGTCAGACTAGACCATCCAACCCTGTAATTTTCTCAGTTATACCTTCCATGACTTGATTTACAGAAATTGCTTGTTCTGTGTTCATACAAGATTTTTTTCACACATTAACATCCCCAAACAGGCATCCGTGGGAAACATGGGGAAGAATGGTGGCATGAACCTTGGCCAAAAATACTAAATTGTCTCCTTTCCGTGATGATGTCACAACACATCTCATCTTGATGTTCTTGAGGCTCGTTACTGATGTTACTGATCCCACATTTCACCTAAGACAATATACTTACTTCCTTTTCTACCTGATTCGTTTTGTGCTTCCAGCAAGCCTGTGAAAAAAAGATGCTAGAAGGATTATAGGACTAAAATTGTCCCGTGAGTTTCTTGCTAATTAGGGATTAAACTAAATTTACCCAGTCCATGTTGGTTTTGTTTATATATTACTTTGTTTATATATTATTTAAGCTAGGAGGTCTGAGCGTGAAGAACCCAATGAGATTAACAGTTTCTTCCTTTTTGAGACTTCCTCTTCCTGTTGACCATGGATAATCAAGACAATGGATTATTTTGTGTTAAATTCAGACTTGGGGTTATGGCTAAATATGTTCTAATAAGGCAGGATTTATCAGCCAGCTTGAAAACTGGTTTCTAGTTAAATCTACATTCAGGTAAAGCCAACTATAAAACATGAAGTCGTTGCCTGTTCTATCTGCAGTTTCTAGAAATCTGTTTGATTAATTCAGGCAATTTGTTAGTCAATTTTATGTGTGTTGGAAGTCATTCAGTGTAGTGTAAAAATTAATTAAACATTGTTCTGATCAGAGTTGTTCACAGGTTAAAAAAAAGTTAAGATGGTGCCTATGAGGCACATTAAACAAAGGTGGAGCTCCAATTGCACTGTTACAGTTGCCATCTTAATTTTGGGGACCATACCTAGTGGACATCCCTGGTCCTAATGAACAGTTAAATTATGCTCATTCGTATATTTTTTTTCCTCTTAGGACCTTTAGTCCTACAAAACCTGCAAAATCCCTACATACTCAGAAAAATAGACAGTTCTTCAATGAACCGGAAGAAAATTTCTGGATGGTTATGGTATATAAATACACGATACTATTCTTTTAAGCAATTTCTTTGTAATTTCTTGAATGTCCGTCAGATTTTTATACCCTTCATTTAAGCTGAAAATGTCTCTAGAACGATTTACAGATGAGTAATTGAACAATCCATGCTGTCAGACTCCAAAGGAAAAAAAAGGATGGATAGGAAGGGGGAAGGAAGCAAACACAGGCCCCATTTCTTAGTTAGAATTGGTGGATGTAATGGAAACAGTTCAGGAGCCTGAAGGAATAACTGTTGCTGGATGACAATTTGACAAAGCCAAAAGTAGTTGGTCTTTCAATAGAACCAATAGAAAAATCTCCTCCTCTTCTTCTTCTTGCTCTTCTCACTTGTAAATTAACTACAGGAAGAGAAAAGCCTGATTAAATTGATTGCTTAAGTCTTCCCCTCCCCTTCCCCCTCCCTCTCCTCCTCCTCCTCCTTCTTCCTGTTCTCTCAACCTTCTCAAAAGAACCTACAGAAGGGAAAACATGCAAAACAATATGGCTTGAATGAAACAAATATAATATACATTGTTTTTGAGTAGCAGTATGGCTAAACCCTAATAAAAGAGCAAAGCAATAAACGTTAAAAACACGTCATGTTTTAAGGCCTATTGAAAAAAGTGGGAAGGCACAAAGCTTGATGAACGGCCCAGAGATCAGTGCCTTAAAAAAAAAAAGTAAACCATTTTGCCTGGACTTATATCACCAGTGATGAAAGGGAGGAGCATTATGTCTTGAATTAGGATCTGGGTAGACTCTTTGAGATAATCTGATCCTTTAAATGGTGTTTGGAGCAAATGGATAATTGATGTAGCTAGTATAATACAGATGTTAAGAAATCCAGCACATGTACTTTTTGCAAGGTTTTCTAATAAAAAGATATTCTGAAGCTTTTGAAAAGAGAAACCATTCTCAATTATATGTTTTCCCCTTTGCATTTATGTCCTTGGATGTAAACGTAGAAGGTCTATATTAAGTTCTTTTAAGCGATCATTTAGTTTTAAAATACTAAATCGGTGTTGGACGTTTTTATGATGTGGCCATTGGCCTTTTTTGTGTGTGTAAATTAATTAACAAAATGAGATGCATTCTTGGAGATTTTGTTCCTGTTTTTTAGTTGATTCTCCTTTGTGTATTGTTGATGCTGCTGTATATATTGATTACCTTGAAGAGAGCACTAGCAATTCCAGATGATTACATGAAGCCTGTTTTTTTCCATTTTCAAGGTTGTACGGAATCCAATGATCGAAAAACACAAAGATGGGAAAGCTGTCATTGAATACCAAGAAGAGGAGTTACTGGTAATAATTAACTGTCGCATTGGAAATGTTAGCAAATACGGACAGGTGTTATTTCCCTCTCTTTTATGACGTGAACACTTCAAGACTTGCCTTTTCTGTCCTTTCTCCTAACATTTGTAAATAATTTCTGAAGTTCTGTACTCCAACATGCAGTGGCCTCCCCTGTCTTAGCTTTTAAAAGAAGAAAATTAAGCAGGATAGTAATTCAAGATATTTATAGGACCCAGGTGGGAAAAGCTGCTCTCTGTGGCACTTCTCCCACTCTCAGTTTTATTTGGTATTAAAATCTTTAATGCCCTTGGGGTTGGTCAGTTTTTCCTCTTGCATGTTTCTGCAGAGATCAAGCCATTTTAGTGGTAGCATTGTAGGGCTGGGCTCACCCTAAGTGGAAATATATGGGATAAACAAGTTATGATGAGTGTAACTAATACCTATTCAGAAGCCAGACCCGCTGATTGTGGTTTTATTGCATCTGGATCCAGTCCCATTGGAGCTGGTTTTCATGATTTGTTAACTTTTTAATTTTTTAACTTTGGTTAACTTTATTTTTTAACTAACCCTGGGCGTGGCTGGCACCCTGATGACGCTCCCCAAGCCTAATATTTGCTAGTTACCATCAATCCTTGGAATATACTTATTTATTTAGGACTAT